CTTAGCATGTCAAATTGTGCTTTTATTGCATGCTGGATTCTTTTTCTAGAAAGGGAGGGTTCTTAAGGCCCCTTTGTATTTAACGCAAGCTACCTGAGGCATTATTTGCTGAATCTAAAGTAGTAAAGGCTTTTCAAAGTGCAGGTGATCAAGTAGGTGATGATACTATTAACTGAAACACAAACAACTAATTTTGGTTTTGAGCCTGTTGAGTTGGAAATATTAACGTTACATTTAGAAAATGTTCAAGACATAGTTGAAAGTAGGAGAAAGCAGGAAAAACAGATTTGTCTCTAAGAAGTGACAGTCCAAATCATAAGTGTTGTTCAAGTGACACAGAATGAGAAGACATGTGAGAAGATGGTTGTACTAGTGACTGGCAGATAGGAAACAGAAAGGAGATGAAACTGAGAGCAGTTAATTTTTTTCCTCTTTAGTATGGCCTGGAAAAAAATTTAAGGGAAAGAAGCTACATATTTTTTTTCCCAGAAGATATATTTTAAAGCATTGTTTGTGTGTGATTCTTCTAAAAAATCAGATTAATATATATTTTTAAGAATGAAAAAATATGATTATATTTTCATCTATTATTGATTCCTGGCCTTTACCCTCTGAAAGTGGCTTCTGTACTCTGCAATACAAAATTTTAATTAAAACTGGCTGCAATATTATATTATTGCAATTTATGTTTATCAAGATCAAATAATTCATTATTACTGTCAGGGGGTAAGAACATTTTGTTTTTTTGCCTCTGGGGAGGGGGATGATCATTTTCATAAGAGAAGGAAGGATTCAGTGCTTTCTTTGCTTGTGGGTCTCCTCTTGTTCACTTTTGATCTAGATATTGGTGGTTATGTTCCAGTCCTCCTGCATATGCCCAAGAGGATTGGGAGTGGACGGACAACAGCAGAAGCACCATTTATTCCTGTAGAGATTAGAAACAAGTTTATTGCCCTGCTTGTCAAGGCTCAGGACAGAGAGGAGGAAGAAACAAGTAAAAAGGTTTTGGTTTTGGAAAGAAGTTGGAATCTCCTGACCCTGGGACATTAAGATCCACAAAATTGCTGAAAGAAAAAGTACTACCTTATTGAAAGGTAAGATATTAAACTGTTTTAAGGTTTAAGCTATTTTAGCCACATAAGCATATTTTCATAAACTGAATTCAAGCAGTCATTTCTGCCAACCTCAGATTTTTGTGACATAATCACCAGTGCTGGTGAAAAGGAGACCTATGTGGCTGGAGGGATGTGTATAGTGAGGGAACATCTTTACATCATGTCACTCCATTTTGAAATGACATTTACTGAATGCCAGGCACTGTGGTAGGCCTTTGATATCAAGAGTTTAACGAGTTACCCTATCTACCTTCTAGAAATAACTCATTTAAGGACAAAAACAATGATGATTGCAATGTGATAAGTGCTATGATTAATAGGTGCTAAGTGTAATGAGTGGTTCAGGGGTCAGAGGTGTAGCTCAGTGGTAGAGTGTTTACCTAGCACATATGAGGCCCTAGGTTAGATCCCCTGCACCCAAAGCAAACAAATGAACAAACACAAAATGGTGAGTAGTCCATCTCCGTCTGAGGAAGTAACATCCATATCCTTAAAAAGCCCATAATGTTGGAAGAAAGGGATGGGCTTCAAGTTCGGGAAAATGACTTATTCAGAGACATAGGTATGAGAAGCATGTTGTATTGGAAGAAGTCACCAAATGCCAGGATTTGCTATCTGAATGCTTGCTATGAGTAGAAGAAGGAAGAGTGATATGAGATGTTAGATAGGTAAATTTGGGCCAGTTTTGGACTTTGTTGCATGCCAAAGAAATTTTAATTTTGTCCATGGGGAAACATTGAAGATACAAACAGGAAACTGTGGGACTGCCTTAGTTCTGAGAAGGGGAGGAGGAAAAAATAAATACGGTGTTACAAAACAAATGTACCTTTTCTTTCTAATTGAGTCTCAAAAAAAAAAAAAATAAAGATGGTCCTTATTTCTTTCTTTTTTTTTTTTTTT